GTGGGCTGCTTAAAAAGCGAGGCGGTTGGGGAGGGGGTGGTTCTGGCTCAGAGGAGCTCCCAGCTGTGGTGGAGCTGAGGGCAGGGCCATAGAGCTGGGGGGACCTGGGTGGGGGGCCTTGGCTTGGGTTCCTGATCTGCTCTAAGCTACCACATGGCCCCTACAGGCCCCGCCTTCATGTATTCCTAGAATGGGGACCCTCCAGGACACCGGCCTATGTTTTAGTCCTGGGGCCAGGAACTCAGGCCTGCCCTGCAGTCCACACAGAGGTGGCTGCTCACTGCCCACTGCCTGCAGGGGCTCAGCGCCCACACCCACTGCTCAGACCACGTCCCGAGTAGCCAGGGAGGCGGAGGCCTGGCTGACCTGTGAGGAGCCCAGACTCCAGCCTGGCTGTGGGCCAGCCTGGCCTGCCAGCCTCTTCCCACCTGTTCCTCCATCCTGTCAGTCCAGCGTCTGTCTTGAGGCTTCAAGTTGGCAATCCTGGTCACCCAGGCCTGCAAGGCGCCCCTGTGTCCCACTGATCTGGGGCGTCAGGGCAGAGGCTGAGGCCAGAGCTGGGAGCCTCATTCCTGCTCAGGCCTTAGCTCGCTGTGCAGCCCCAGGGAGCATGGCACCGGTGTCCCCTTCTGTCCTCTGGGGAGTGGGGAGAAAGGCCAGGAGAAGGCCTGGGCAAAGTCCAGAGCACAGCAAGGGGGTCAGGAAGTGTGGCCACGGCCTGGCCAGACAGGTATCATTGACTCTCAGCCTCTGCAGGAGCCTGGCGTGGATGCATCCAGGCTGGGAGGACAGAAGAGAGACCCAGGCAGGCTTTTTGGAGGAGGCTCCAACCTGGGCCTGGAATTTTGCCCTTTCTGTTGGAGGGAGCAGGGGACCGCTATGGGGGAATGGCAGGTCCACTATGGCCTGAACCCAGGCATGTCATGATGGGCCCTGAATGCCCAGCAGAGGTCTGGACGTTTCTGAGGTCAGGGGTCAATGTCTTAAGGTTCTGATTTCACAGATTTAGCATATGTGGGGGCCGCTCATGGGTGTAGAGGACCCCTTGCTGTCCTTGCCCACCTCCAGTGGCCTCAGCCCTGCCCAGACCCTCTGCTCTCTGCCTGCTTTTGCCCAGCCTACATGCTTTCTCTCCAGGGTGGGGCCCCAGGATGCCAGGCCAGGAGTGCCAGCTCGGTGGGGAGGGAGGGCTGGTGAGTGAGCGAGGGAGCAGGTGGACGCTCTGCTCTCTTCCCCGGGTACACCGCAGGCTGCGAGCTGAGCAGGGCAGTGGCCTGGAAAGCCTGCGGCAAGCCAGAGTCATGGCAGCTCAGGGAGCCAGCCTGCAGACCTGCCTGTGAGCAGGGGCTGTTCTCCCCATTGGACAGATGGGCAAACTGAGGTTCAGAGGGGCCAGTGAGAGTCAGTGGAGGAGCAGAACTCGAACACAGGATCCCAAACCAGAACACTCTCCTTAGAATACAGCTAAGGTCCCTGGCCGGCGTGGCTCAGCGGTTGAGCATCGACCTAGGATCCAGGAGATCGCAGTTCAATTCCTGGTCAGGGCACATGCCTGGGTTGTGGGCTCGACCCCCAGTGGGGGGCGTGCAGGAGGCAGCCGATCAGTGACACTCTCTCATCATTGATGTTTCTATTTCTCTCTCCCTCTTCCTTCCTTTCTCTCTGAAATCAATTAAAAAATATATATATTTTAAGAAGTTTTGCTTAAAAATAAAAAAATGAATACAGCTAAGGTACCTCGATTGTCACCTCGGCCTCTCACTATGCAGATGGGAAACTGAGGCTTGGGTGGGGCAGGGAGGGGCAGAGGGATGGTGTCCTCTTGGGATACCCTGGTCCCTACCCACCACCTCTGATGCCCCCTTCTGGATGTTCTCTAAAGCCTCAGTTTCCTCCTCTGTGGTCAGGCTGGATTGGCCCATCCTGAGGAGCTGTCTGGGGAGGAGAGGCAGGGTGGGGATGCCACTCAAGACGGTGGTCTTTCTGACCTGCTCCTCCCCGTAAAGTGCAGGCCCTGTGTCTAGGCAGGTGAGGGGACAAGCCAGGTGGCCAGGACGGGCCGGGACCGGGCCTGCTCTCCGCACACACATCCCCACCACCACCCTGCTGGGCCCGGGTTCTTCTAACCCAGGCTAGTAAAGGGAGAAGCCATTTGCCAAAAGAGGGCTGATGGGTCCCTATTTTCAGATGAGAATATTGAGACTCAGAACAACCTTAGGTGGCCTTCCCGACATCTGGGGATGTCCCCAAGCCCCAGGCTCCCCACTGAGCCTTGAACTCCAGCAGGGGAGGGAGACGAGTAAACTTGGGAAGACCAGAGAAAGGACAGGTGACGTGAGTGCCACCAGGCCTTTGGACCAGCTGTGCCCGCCTCTGACCTACTCTGTTCCCTTCTGTCCCGAGAGGAGGGCCGCAGGGACCCATCTGGCACTGTGGGGTGGCTTGGGGGGTCTGCAGAATGACACAGACCTGGAAGACCTCTTATCCCCACTTGCCAGGCAGAGGCACTGAGGCCAGCATCAGCCCCCATGGTTGCTCTGCTGAGCTCCAGCCCAGCCCACCTGGCTGGAAAGTTCTGGGCCAGCCCCTGCTCACCTGAGGGAGAGGCTGGCAGGAAGTGGCCTTGGGTGGGCGTGTGGGCCAGGTGCCGCCCTCTCAGGTATTTGCCGAGAACTTCCTGGACAAGTGGACCCAGCCTCGCCTCCCTGGCTGATCACAGATAATTAGAACATTCCTCAAATATTTTGCCGGAGGATGCCCGAGAAGGAAGAATTGCAAAGCTCCCCCGGGCCAGGAGCGTGGGCTGGAGGCGCTCTGGGCAGCTGGGCAGCCGGGCTGGGGCCAGGGCTGGGGGCCTAGAAGGAGGCTGGGGATGTGGCCCAACGTGGCCAGCATGTCCCCATCTCCCAAGGAGCTGGGGTGGGGGTGGGGCTCAAGTCCAAAGCCAACTCAGAGCCAGCTGGGTGCTGGGCAATGTTGGGGATCCCCGACCTGGGGAGCCTACAGCAGGTGAGGGTGGACAGCCCTGCCCTAGTGGTGTTAGGAAAAGCCTGAGGGGTCCACACAGGGTCCTGCCTGGGGCCCTCCAAGGAGGGTCTGTGGGGAAGAGCAGTGAGGCTGAGAGGACACATCAGCCCCGGGCAAATGTGCGGATTCTCAACCCGGAGCAGTGTGGGGTAAGAGGGAGTGGTAAGGGCTGTGCGTGCTTGCGGCCAGTCTTGTGGCTGACACCCATGACCCTGACAGCCCAGCCTGAGGCCACTGTCCTGCTCTGTAGGGAGGAGCTGGGCGTGGGTGGGTGGCCCCAAAGGGCAGAGGGGGCTGGGTGGACTGCCACCTGGGGAGGGTGAAGGAGCAGGCATTCTCCAGTGACCCCCCCTAGCTCCAGGGGGAGGGTCTGTCTGAGGTGTTGAGGTCCAGAGGGTTCAGTCATGTGGTCCAGCTCCAGGAAGAACTGGGATCCTAACCTCCCCCATGGAGTACTGCCCTGGTCCTAGCCTGGGGAACACTCCCAGGCTCCTGTGGTTGGCTCAGGGCAGGGGGACTGGGGTGGTGCTCTGCCCAGAGGAGGGCTCAGAGGGGGCGCTGGGGCCAAGAGGGTTGCCCCCCCGAGACACTCGATCCTGGTTTGCCTGTTAGGGAATTCACAGGAGAAATGAGAAGCCAGGTGGAGGTGTCTGGCTCTGTGGCCTCCTTGAGACACATGGCCGGCCCCATCTGTGGCCATAGTTCTAAGGCCCTGCGGACAGATCAGATAGCTCCCGGCCTGGGAGGCTCTGTCACATGTCCTGGGCTGGCAGAGACACCTCTCCCTCTGGCTTTTAAACAGAATGACAGGGCTTGTCCCATCACTGGCGATGCTGGGGACCAATGCCCAGTGGATGTTGGAGCAGGGGGGCTGCCCTGAGGAGCCCCGAGGCTGAGCCGTGGTGGGGGTATCTTAGCCAGAGCCCAGAGCTGTTTCCTCCCAGCCTCCGGCAGAGCCTCGGGGAAGGGGACACGGCAGGTGCTGAGAGGAGGGCACTGCCTGTCATAGCCCCACCCACGAAAGGCCCCCTCCAGCCCAGGGTCTCCTGTCCCAGTCCTCCTCATGCCCCAGGAGCCACCGAAAGTAGCCTGCCTCCTTTATTTGGGGTTCACAGAGGTGGAGGGCCTGGTAGGGATGGGCCGGCCCCGGACCAGGCTGGGGACGCCTTTTGATCCCGGGGTGCCTGCGAGCCTGAGTTTGGGCCGCACTCCTGTGAGGGCCCCCCAAGACCAGGCACACACAGACCAGGCCCACAGCAGTGATTTCTCATTCACATTGTATTTCTTAAGCGTATTTTCTTTATTTTAACTTTTGTAAGAAAACTTGGTGTTTTCCTTCTCGCCGGATCCTGTGAGCCCTGTATATTTATTTGTGTACTGAGGTGAAACTTTCAGAGCGTAACTGCAGCAATCTCAGGACAGTCGGATGCGTTTTTACCACTGTGGGCACCTGTGTAACCATTACCCAGCTCGGGACAGAGAACATTCCAGAACCCAGCAGGCTCCCGGGCCCTCTCCCAGCAAGTGACTCCCACCCACGGTGACTCTAGTCTGGCTTCTGTCTCGAAGGGGAGTTGCGCCCAGTCTGGAGCGCATGTCCAGTCTGGCTTCTTTTGCTCAGTGTGTCTGGGAGTCACCCGTGTGGATGTGTGTCACTCACTGTGTGAACGTCCCATAGTGTGTCATCCCCCTGGGATGGACACCTGGATGGTGGTGCCAGCTCGTGCAGGGCACACGTGCTTGTCTTCAGTGATGCAGGGCTCAGTTCCCTTGGGTGTATAGACTCCATCCAGAGCAAGATTTGGGGTCAAGAGCTGATCCAGGAGTGAACCCCCGGGGGGGCACCGTGGTGACGTGGCCGCCCACTGGCTTCAGAATGGCCGGGGTGAGCATCAGTCCCCCCGATGGATGTAGCTGCTCCCTGGTCCCCACAGCGGGAGTGGGTCCTCCGGGCTCAATGAGTGACAGTCGTAATGGTAATGGGCCCCCAGTCTCAGGCCACAACGGCTAATGAGGGCCCCCACCGGTGACCTCTGACCCCAGGCCTTCGCATCACGCCCTCCCAGCGGCCATGTAATATAGCAGGCCCGTTGTTACTCCCATTTCACAGATGTGGAAACTGAGGCACAGGCAGGTTAAGAAACTTGCCTGAGGCCTCACAGCTAAGAGGGGGCAGAGCCGGGTTTCCAGCCGAGCTGGCGGGTACCTGTCCTCATTCCTCACCCTTGCCCCGCAGGGCTGCCAGGTGGGTAGGCTGGTACCTGGCTGATGCCACAGCAGAGGTCCCACCCCGCTGGCCACTTCCGCTCCTGTCTGTCACCTGGCAGTGGTGACCCCCCCTCCCCTCACCGGAACCACCTCATCCCCTGGGGACCGCCCCAGAAGACCCTCCTGGGTGCCCTCCCTGTGGTCCGGCGGCAGCCCCTCCTTGCACGATGCCCTGCTCCCTGCTTGAAGCCAGTGCCAGGCCCTCTGCTGGCTTCCTGCCCTCTGGTCTGAGACCTGAGGCCTTGTCCACAGTCCCCAGGGGACAAGAGCTTCTTGTCTTCAGAGCCCGGAACCCCTTCTCTGTGCTCCCTCCTCCAACCGGCCCCGGCCAGGGGTGAGGGAAATTTCCAGACTTTCAGCTTTGCCCCCTCCTCCTGGCATCTTGCCCAGGTCCCGAGGTCCCTGAACTGGGCAGGGGATGAGCCCCGAGCAGAATTTTCCATGGAAAAAGTCAGCGACTGAAACAGGAGCACCCTCCTGGCCTCTCCGTGGGCACGGGCCGCCCAGAGCGTCCTTGCCAGCGTCCCCGGGCACCTGAGCGGGCAGCTGGGGGCGGGAGGAGCCCAGAGGGTTCTTCCCACTTTGGGGTGAGAGCCGGGCCCCCCGCAGGGCGACTGGATGAGAGAGTCATAGCATGCCCTCACCCAGACTGCCAATTACCCAGGATGCCGCCTGCGTCGCCCGCCTCCCCCCTGCACCGGCTGTCTGGTTATGTGTGTCCCTCCCCACTCCGACGGTTTCCTAATGACGGCCAGGCCGGGCGCCCTTATCAGCTGTCCCCTCCCTTCCAGGCGGAAGGAAGAGTGTGGGCAAGTCCTGGGTGTGGCCGGGCCAGGCCACCCGGGAGGGCAGTGGTCAGGCTGGCAGGGCACTCGAGGGCTGGGGGGGGATGGGCCCCCGCTCTGGACCTCGAGCGCCAGCCACAGGAGTGTCCGCGAGCCTGGGTGGACTGACGAGTGACCTGGAGGATTTTCAAGAGGATGTTCAGCCTGGGAGGGTGGAAACTGTCCTAAGAATGGGAAGTGGTTGTGGTTTCCACTCCACTAGGCCATCCTCAGTGCTTGTAGTGCACCTACTATGTGCTACTATGTGCGGTGCTTGCAGCCACAGCGCTGCGGCCACCTGCCTCTGGAAGCAGAGACCAGGCTCCAGGCCTGGCTGTGTGGCCTCGGGCGGGTCCCCCAGCCTCTCTGAGCTGCAGTCTGCACACCTGTAGCATGGGCATAGTGAGGGTCCCCTCACCAGGAGGGGACTGAGACCTGGCAGAGGCCGAGTTGCCTAAGGTCAGTGCTCAGGACAGGAGCGTTTAATATTGTTGGGGGCAAAATCCCCACATTCTAAGGAAGACAATTCTGAAATTTTTTCTGAATTATCAATCATATCTGATTATTCATGTTCCTGGCACAAAATGCAGTGTGACTCTTCTGCAATGCCTGTACCTCACTTGTAATCCAGGCACTGGCTGGGGGNATCTGATTATTCATGTTCCTGGCACAAAATGCAGTGTGACTCTCTTCTGCAATGCCTGTACCTCACTTGTAATCCAGGCACTGGCTGGGGGGTGGCTGGGGGCTCCCTAATCGTTGGGCCCCCACACCCTGGGGAGACATACACGAGTATAAGTGGGGTGCCACTGGGCGAGGCCTCTCTTCCCTCAGGCCCACCCGTGGCTGGGGTGTACAGGGAGGGTTTTAAAAAATTGTTGCTAAAAGACATGTAATGTAAAATTGGCCTCTTTCACAATTTTAAAGTGAACAATTCAGTGGCGTTTGAACATTCAAAGTGTTGTGTAACCCCCACCTCTCTCTAGTTCCAGAACTTTTTTCATTGCACCAGGTGGAAATTCCACACGTACGGAGCAGGGGCACCCCATTCCCCTGCCCCCAGCGCCTTCCGTCGGGTCTGCCTTCCGTCTCTGTGGATTTACCTTTGCTGGGCATTTCACATAAACAGAGCCACACAGAATATGGTCTTTTGTGTCCAGCTTCTTTCACTGAGCAAAGTTTTTGAAGTTCATCCAAATGGCATATATCAGTACTTCATTCCTTTTTATGGCTGACTAGTACTCCACTGCATGGACATACCACATTCTGTTCATCCGTTCGTCTATTGATGGGCCTCTCGGTTGTTTCCGCCTTTGGGTTACTGGGAATTGTGCCGCTATGAACTTGTGTGTTTACGTTTTCGTTTGAACACCTGTCTTCATTTCTTTTGGATACATACCAAGGAGCGGAATTGCTGGGTCCTGTGGTCTGCACCATTTTACATCCCAACCAGCAATGGGCAGGGGTTCCCGTGTCACCACATCGTCACCAACACTATTCTCTGTTGTTTGAGCATAGCCACGCCCGCAGGTGCTCGGTGGCCCTCTCGGGGGTTCTGATTCACATTTTCCTGATACGAGTGATTTTTAGAACCTTTCCACCTGTTTGCTGGCCATTGGTGTATCTTCTTTGGAGAAACGTCTATTCAAGTCCTTTGCCCATCTTCAAATGGGACTCTTTTTGTTACTGAGTTGTAGACGCTCTTTCAGACGTAACCTTTGAGCATTCATTCACTCGTTCACCGATCTATTTCACAAACACTCATGGACAGCGACACGGGGCAGCCCCTGAGGCCCCAGATTCAGCTCAGACTGGACACTAGTGCCTACTGTGCTAGTCCTCAGTGTCAAAGGGTTGGGACCCAGTGGGGCTTGCACTTGGGCCTGGAAGGGAAGGAGCATTTGCCAGACCAAAGAAAGCAGAGAGAGAGGCGCCGCAGGCAGAGGAACTGGCACAAGTAGAGGTGGCAGGGTGCTCAGGAGCCAGATCCCAGGAGACCTCCAGTCCTAGGCAAAGGAGCCTGGGAGCTATGGATGGGCTCTCAGCAGGGGAGTGGCATGGTCAATGCAGATGTTGGCACCAGCGGGGCTGGGGGGCCTGCCTGGAGGCGGAAGACCAGGGCTGCAATGATCTATTTCATCCCCCAGCATCCACCCCAAGTCCCACTGGAGTCTCCCCAGTCAGACCCCATTTGTCCGCACTCCTGCCCCCCGCAGGGGTTCTCATCCCAGGCAGTGGGGTGTTGCCGCCTAGCATGCTGGAAGAATTGGGGAGCAGGGAGCCTGCTTTCAGCATCCAGGATCCAAGTGGGCTCTGAGCGCTGACCTGTGGCCTGGAGGCTGGTGCCCGGCAGGGTTCCCATCCATCTCATTTCCCCGGGTCGGTTTTCTGAGGATCTACAATTACTCTGGGCTGAATTCCCCAGATTCCAGCCGGCTCCCAGCCCCACCCGCCCAGATGCTCTTCCTCCACGCCAGCCTTCCGGTTTCTGCCCATTGTGCCCGTGGGAGACCCAGGGGTGTC